CACCGACCCCCAACAGACCCCCCTGCCTAACCACATCAGCACGCTGCCATCTGCTCAGGAGGCTGCACAGAAGCTTGTTTTGCTCTCTGTCAGATTCATTACACTTCGATTTAATTCACTTTCACAAGTGCCAACATAGCCTCTCGGACCAGTGCTGCCAGCCGCGGTTCAGAATCATATCCCCGGCTAACCCCGGCCGTTGGTGTGCCCCCGCGTCCTGGCCAGCCCTGCTTGGCTCCAGCGGCACGTCTGGCTCGCAGCCCGGGCTGGCCTGAGCCAACAGCACCTGGGCGAGCTGCCGTGCCCAGCCCTGGGCACACTCCAGAGAATGTCTGCTGCTCTCTGGGGTGGCTGGCATGCGATCCCCGCTTCTTCCCTGGAGCGATTCTGCTCCCAGAACGAGGGACAGGGCACAGGGATGCTCACCAGCTCCTGCGTCTCGGACTGGAAGATGGAGTGGACGCCGATGATGAAGGGTGTCGGTGTGCTCAGGACCTCCAGGAGCTGTGCAGGCAAGATGGGCACGTACGTGAAACTGCAACCAAAAAAGAGCATCGCTGCAGAACCGTCCTCCACACCGGCAGCTGGTCACCCCGCCAGGGGCTGGGGGGTGATTCCTGGCACTCCCCACCCTTCCAACGTGCATGCCCTGAGGCCATGCGAGGTTTCTGTGGGCTCGTGGCCACTGACTGTAATCATTCCCTGGCCCTGGAGTTATAATCCAAGTCTGACCGATGGAAAGGTTTCCAGCGGAGCACTTTAACTCCAAAAGAACGCTTTCTTTGGAATACAAAAAGCCGTTCTGCAGCCTGGGGGTATGGCACGCCAGCGTGGAAACAGTGCGACGGGAGCTGGCAGCAACAATGGCCCAGCTGTCTCAGCTGTCCTGCCCGGGAGATGTGCAAACAGCCCCGCTCTGCGATCTGCATCCCCCTCCCCGGTGGGCCACGGGGGTCAGCAGCATCCCCACTCCCAAAGATGGGGCGAGCAGGGTGCCAGCGTCCCGCAGGAGTCACCGCAGCGCCTTGGTCACCACCACTGGCCCCTAACAAAAGCCCAGCACGCACGTGGCCCTTTCTAGGGACGGCAGAGTTTGCACCGCAGCTTTCTGGAAGCCTCCCAACGCCCAGCCTCCCCGCTCAGCGCAATGCCGTGCCCGGGATGGATGGAGGGCTGACAGGGGACATGGTGCCGTGGGGCTCTCTGCTCTGCACCGGCTGCAATGCAGCTGGGAGAAGGGAAAGGGGACGGATTCTGGGGGGATAAAGGGGCTTGCAGCACAGCCGAGACCT